TTGAGCCAGGTGAGTTCTAGGCATCACCAATATGTCTCTTCCCTGTAGTCTCCATCTCCTAGCTGTAGCCTCTGTCTCCATCTCCTATTCCCAAGAATAACAACTGATACAGAAGAAAAGGAATAAAGAGAAAAATTTCCATTAAAAAAGAAATGAATTCTGGGAAGCTCATTCATTCAAAGTGAGATGTAGATTACAATGCAGTTGCCAAAAGATTCCCTACTCAAAATTCACCATTTCATATTATGCATAATGACATATTCACAAAGTTGTTCTGTTATTCATTATAAGTGAATTGCTTATCTCCACTGCTTCCAAAAGTGTCATTACACTGTATTGCGGTAAAGGCTGACCAATTATTTAGCACAGTTAAGAAAGGAGAACCTGTACCAAATCAAGCACTAAGGCAGAAAGGTATCACTTGCTACAAAAACAGAACAATTTTCAAATGTCATTCAATCTGAATATAGCTCTTTTCATTAATCCTCTGCCATCTGTCAAATACGATACTAACCAAATACGATACTAACCAAAATAAACTTTTAAAAGCTGTATCAAGTGACTTTAAACTAAGAGGAAGTTTAAGCAGAGAAAGGAAACTATCACCACGTCTTGACATACTTGGAGATATCCCAAAACAAGAATATAAAGAATCTCCTCAAGTTTGAATTCTGAAATGTTTTTCACCTTCTCTAAAAATACGGAACTTCTGTTTACAGGTGCTGCCCTGCTGTTGTAAAATACACGTATGCTTCAAACCAAAAGCTTCACTGTGAATGTTAAATGAATTTTGTTTTCCTATGACATTTTGCAATAAGGGAACTATGGTGCTGAAGGTCTTTTGTGTTGTTATTGTATAATCCAAGCAGCTTCTTTATTCAGGTATCTACATACTCTATACACAGCCACCAGCTCTGTGCTGGTTATGCTAACAGAAGTACTGACACATTTTAACCACCATAGTTTTAGGCAATCTCATTAAGGCAGGTTTATTCAAGTGTTTTGGTGGTTCTGCTGAGGGTATGTGTTACAACTGTGACAGATTAAGTTTATGTACTTAAGATGTTTATTATCAGTTTTTTAGCTAAGCCAGACACGTGGCATTTTAAGCTGATTAGCGAATGCTATTCAGCATACCATTAAATTAACTCTGGTGCAGATTCCCAGTCAAAACCCAGAACACAGGTACTGGAGGCAGGGAGAGGCACAGACACACACCACCAAGAACACATCCTTACACCATGGAAGGGATTTCTACACCTCCCTTTAAGTAAAGGACTGGAGTTACACAACCTTCACCAAGACACACCAGCAATCCCAGCATGTAAAAAGAGAGAAAGAACCAGGCTCACACGAGACCCCTCTCAACCAAGGCAGGTTTCTCCATCCCCACACTCTGGTGAAATTGAGCTGCTGGGCACGCTGCGACGCCTGGGAAGCCCATCTGGTCACAGCAATAGAAGAGACTGGCTGGGACTGCGCTCATACACCCGAACAAGCTGTAGCTCTAAATATAGGCGTCCCCTCATCCACTGCAAGAGCTTATATGAGAAAGGCTTTAAATAAAGGCAGGCAATCCTCCCAGCACATTTGTTAAAAGACTACGTATAATATATTCTTGTTGCTTACCACAGTTATTGATTAAATGTTTCTAAGAATAAAGTTCTTAAGTAAGTAAATTAGTATATTCTTAAATTATATCACAGATGTCCATAAAATCCTAATTATATGAACTCATAACATAGTAATTACACACTGATCAAGTAATTATGTACTGTGCTCAAAGTATTCCGGAGCAACATCAGGTTTAATTCTGTGATTCTGTGATTCTGTGATTCCCATTTTGTTTTACTGAAGACAGCTAGGATCTGATGACCAGATTTCATACAGGCTGGAAAAGAAATCTTTAAAACTATTCTGCAGAGCTATAAAAAAATGTATAGCTATTATCAATAAACTTTATCAAGGCTAGAACCTCCAAGAGAAAACATTCCTATAAATATCATCTCTACCATATATCCCTATATCAATATGTTCCACTATTGGCATGAGTTCACAAAATCAAAATAGCACAAGAAAACGTCACTGAAATAACGCAACTGAACTCAACTGTTCCCTAGATTGGTTAGGATAAAGGAAATTTCTGCTGAGATTTCACCTCACCTGCAGTACCAAAGAGGCCAGAGCTAAGGGACCTGAACACTTTCACCCTTGTTACCACCAAGAAATGAATCCATTTCTAGAAGTATTGAAACTAATTTATCTCTTGCTGAGGGAGTTACAGGGTGTAATAATCTGTGAAACAGGGGGAAAGTTCACGTTGCTTTAGTCTCAAGGCCCCTCACTTCTAGGAGCAACTAATTCATGGCATCTTCTAAGCAACTTAATATCAAGAACTGCGGTAAATCCATGTTTTGATTAAATTAAAGGGCAAATATGGGTGTACAAAGACTCGCCCATATTTACTCAGCTCATAAAGAGGACCAGCTGTGAAACATGGCCTCATACTCTTCAGTAATTTGACTTCCTTGCTACCCCCAGAAGAACACAAGCCAGAACCCAAATATGAGACCCACGCCTTGAGTTTAATTTTGGACATCGTTCTCTTTTCTTCCTAAAGATACATGACTTGAATCATGAATACCCATGGTTGTATCAACTATAGCAATCTTCTTTCACCCACTATCCATTTATTTTTGTTGTAATCATGCCACCTCACATCTTTCATTCTTAGAATGTTTTACATTGTTTTCAATTTTGCAAAGATTAGTATAAAATATTTTTGTTCTCAACTAGATTATTTCTTTCAGAAACCAGAACTTGTATGCTAGCTGTAGAACACACCTGATATCAGATGCACAAACAGCTGTTCATTTGTCCATTTAAAAATGGACACCATGCAAAAGAAGCAAGAAGGAGGAAAACTGTACAGATATTTGAAATGCAACACACTGATGATGAAAAATGAGAAAATTAACTTGAAGCCATACACCTTTTAGTTACATTTCCCATCAGTTCCTAGTATCATTTGCACAGCGATGGAAATGAACCACCGCATGGCTAACCTGAGGGTGTTAAGCTGTGTAGATCAATGACAGCAATAACTTGCCAAGCTGAACCTTTGCTCTAAGCAAGCAGGAATGGCTATCGCTGGTACTGTAACCAAGTAAACACAGCTACAACAAAGAAAGGCAGCATAAACCAGGATCAAGAGCTGCACAGGTGAAAGCAACAAGGACAAAAATAAAAAGTTATTATAGTAGACATAAGCTCTTACAGAGAACCACGTCTCTGTGAATCATCAACCATTCAGCATTTAAAGAGCAGATGGCTGGAAGGTCCCCATATGTGAAAAATATCATCATCAAGAAGAGTCCATAGTAACAGCGAAACATAACTCGATATTATGACTTTTACATGAATTGTTCTTAAAGGTAAAATTATTCAATGACCCGTGTCTAAAGTCTGAAAACTGGAGCAGTCTCAAAGGAAGAAAAAAAAAAAAAAAAAAAACTACCAAAAAGGCTTTGGAAAATCAATAATCATTAGATCCCCTCTCAAAAAGAGCTGTTCTCAACCTACTTTAACAGTAATCTAATTCTGATAATTAATTACTACTTACCAGACCATTAATTAGCCCCAGTGCTAAACAGCATTAAACCACATTTAATAACCCTTGTACAGGAACATTACCCAATACCAGCTTTTAAATAACAAAAATTCCTTTTAAATTATATTGGTGGCAATGACATTAAAACATTAAGAGACAGCTCTTTAGTCACTGCCCTTCCCCTCACTGCACGTGCTGCCGAAGTGAGCAGCACACCAAGAATTTTCACCACCTGCTGCCCAGCTTGCAGGGGAGGCAGCAGCAGGCTGGGTGACCACCTCTCTCCGTGGCAATGCACAAGAAGCCAAGTACAGACACACACATTGTCTCTATCCTTTGCTGACAGCCTGATTTCCACTCAACAGATGCAATATACGTTACTCTACATTAGAGGGAGAGATGCCTAAAATAGCTAAACTTCACAAATTTTCTTGTTCCTCCTACTAGAGCTGGCCAGCAAGAGCACCCTCCCTCTGAAATAACAGCCTGCAATCAGGGGCGATCACATTACCACCTGATGAGTAACTGAAATTTGACCAGCTACATCCACACTGCAGTATGCCAACTTCAAAACCAGTCCCCTGGCTCAAGTTTTAAGTAGGTACCATTTAGGTCAAGTTTCATAACTGCGCACGCAAAGATCTGTACCTTGGTTAGGCTTTGTGACCATCTCAGTACGTATCACAAGTGAATAAACCAGAGGTTTCCACCAGGGTCTTGCATGTTCCTTAACAGCACAGTGTAGAACAAGAGCTACTCCTGAACATGAAGGATACCCGCCATGCTCTCAAACACCTTAGTACAAACTGAGCTGTTCTGGACTTTTTTTCAGTTTACAAACTCCTGTAGCCCGTATCTAAGCACAGTACCAACAAGCTTAAACTTACTCGTTATCCTTTGTGGACCCTGTGTTGCAGACAGCCCTCAGCCTGTTAGCTTCAGTAAGAAACTAACGAGGATTCACAGTGAAAAGAACAGAGTGCAGCAGGTTAGCACAGACCCACAATTCCAGGCAGGGCTTCTCAAGGACCAGACTCCAAGCTGTTTCACTTTAAAGTTGGTTTTCTTGACATCAACGATCCCTGTGAGGCACTACACAAGTTGCACACACACACAGAAGCCAGCAAAAGGTTCAGCCAGGAATGTGCATGCACACTCAGGTAGACAGGACTCCATTCTTCCCTCTGCAGGGCCTTCAACTACAAACGAACTAAAAAATGTGTACAAACGAGCAACATCAACCAACACTACAAGGTTGGAGGTAAATTACACATTACTAGGCTCTCACTTCTGTTACGTATTATTCTCTTGAACTAGAAGGCAGTTAAGTTCATAAACGGTTACACCAACACCAAACTGTTAGAAATTCCTGGTTGATACCTCTCCTTACCTCCACTGAAAAGGATGGCTGTAGCATGGACTAGACGGATTGCTCTGGGCTTGTGAGTTCAGGTAAAATACTAGAGGAGAAGTAACAAGTGCACAGTCAGCACTAAATGGGAATTTAAGGTGCTGCAGACCTGGAGCAGATGTAGGAGAGAACATGTGCGGATGAACATCACTTCCTCGGCAGTGGGAGAACAAAGGAGAGGAGATTCTGACAAGGTACCACGGTAGAAAAAAAAATAAATCAGGGTCAATATCACATCTTCTGTTTATCACTTAAATACAAAGAAAAACAGCTCTCAAAGCACAACTTATATCTTCTTAATAAATGTAGTAAAGTAAGTGGACAGAAGTCTCTCAATTATCATCTAAACCACAACACATTTGTCAGTCAATACAGTACCTATTCAACATTATTCTGCCACTATGAAAAATCTTCTGAACTGGAATTATCCAAATCTCTTTTCTTTTCTTTCTTTTTTTTTTTTTTACAGTGATTCCCAGGCTTTCTGGATCACATGGCATTGTCAAACTTTTGGTTGGGAGAAATTAACAAAGCTGCCAATGGCACCAGTGACTGACATGAGCCATTTGTATCACAGCCTTCACAGATTGCAATTTGGGAGCCATGGTTCCATACCACAGCTACGGCAACAACAAAAATACTTAGTGAAAACATGAACCCTTAACTGGAGAACATTTAGCACTGAGAATGTCTTAAAACAACTAATTAAGCCAGAAAGCAGCACTGCAAAATGGGTTGATTCTAATTTAGCAGTGGGGAAACTGAGGCACAAAGATGTTAAGTGACCCAACCACAGCACATCCATGGTAGCATTAGGATTACAGCTGAGAAAACTGATTTCCAGCTCTGTGCTCAGCTTTGCGAACTATCCTGCTTTTGTAGAGTTAGCAGCCAACAAGTATTCTTACAAGCAGAGAGCACAGAAAATTTCTCTAAGTAGCTGCTTTTCAAGAAGCTGCAAACAGACTTGTATATAAATGTAAAGAAAGTTTTTACACCTACTGTATTGAACTATACACGATGAGATGTCCTTCACTAGAAATAAAGTAAAAGTTAACTTACAAATATTGGTATTATAAAGAAATCATGGGTAACCAAAATAATGTATCATGAAATAAACATACACTATGAAAGCCTTTTGCCCAGATTCTTATACAGGGACAAGAAAACAGGTTTTGAGTTTTCAGATAAGAGATAATCACATACTGAATATACTCCTATGTTGAATCTGTATCAGCTGAACATATCAGCTGTAAGTTCATAACTTCAGGCTGTCACCAAGTTTTAGGGCAGTGTTGCACCACTGATGAGCTCAACCCTTCAAGGGGTTATTTGAAAAAAATTAAACCAAGTGTTTTAGTACAACCATCCCTCTGGAAAAATTATACAGCTTATTACCTGGTTTGCGTGACAAGTGACATTTTCCTTCCTAAGTGGCGATATAACCACTCTTATTTTTTCAGCACAGGGAATCCAAATAGAATAATCAATGTGACCCACAAATACATCATCTCCAGTTGGAGTCCTTTGGGCTTTGCACATAACTATGTTCCAACCATGCAACGTTACAGAAATTGCAAAAGGAAATATATTAAGTATTTAACATCTTACGATTCACCTATGATCAGTACCAGAAAATGCAAAGTTCTTAGATCTAATCCTCAAAACTCAATGCTTAAATGTACCGTGTACATCCCTATATGTAGGGAGTCACAAACTGCACAGGGTATTGTCCACACGTATGCTCTCTGGTATCACTGCACATTCAGCCCTTTCCTTTTTAAAATTTGGACAATGCTTAACAATGCAGTCCCATGCTATGCTTACCGTGCTTATGTTTTAAAATACAATCTAGTGCCACCATATTTTTACAACTATAACTGATTTTGATTGAGGGATGAAAGAAGTTTCTATTTATTGTACTTAAACATAAGCTTTCCCAGCAAAAGGTAAATCTGGGATGTGCTTCAGCTTTTGTTTGGTATTCAGACACGCTATATTGGAAGTCCTGAAGTCAACCATGTTTGTTAATGTTCCCTGCTTTTAATTTCCTTCTGAATCCAAATACTTCTTATCAGTAAGCAACCTTTACATATTGGAAATCCTCCCCACTAGCAACCTCTGCTTAAACAGCTGATGAGCTTTACAGTCTGCAGACACAAAAGGTTAAGCCTGCCTCTTACCCTGCTCCTCCCTTCACTGTGTGACAGATTCATTTAACTTCCCCTACTTCTACATATGGCATTAAATATACAGCTTCCTTCATTTTATCTAGTAGAAATAATAATCAACATCATTACCAACATCATAAATAGCAATTTTCTATAGCAGATTTCAAAGCATTTCTAAAGGCTGCAGTATTAAAAAGGAATTCATTTGTAGGAATATGTGGCAATGTAAATAAAGATTTTTTTTTCTTCAAATTTAAATTAAGAACACATTTGAAAACTTTAAGATGGCAAAGGTAGCAAATGTTTCATTAGAGTGGAGCCCTGTGACAGCTTTCTGGCAGATTATTAGAAGCACTTTATATATTTATAAGAGTGATCTAACTAGAAAGACAGTTACAAACATTTCATTTAACTAAATTAATGCTAGGTATAAAACTTAACCACAATGTACCCCATTTAAAAACATAGAAATATTGCTCTTTTTTGGCTATACTTTATGGTAAATGCTCCACAGAAATAAAAGCTTAAAGTTCTCAAAATGAAATTTTGTGTACAGCCACATGAGCATGACAGATAAAGTTCTAACAAATAAAAGCAACGTTTATTGGCACAGAATATTCTAGCTTGTTTTCTTCATAGTTTGCATTTGAAATGTTTAAATGAAATTTATTTTTCACAACAGTCCTTACTGGATCCGCAGAGATGGGGCTCCAAGCCTCTGTTTCCTCCGTTTCATCATTGTGCTGATGATACACTATGTTCCTTCCCAGAATAAGAGGCTTAAAGCCAGAAAGGAGAGCCCACTCTTATCACTCCAACACAGAGCAGAGAACAATCAGTGCAATCCCAAGCTCTTCGCGTACCCCCAGTGTCACAGAGACCTTAGGAGTTCGGTAATGGTCCAGATTAATCACACGGCTCGTGTCAAAAGCGTCATTATTTATATATTAAAAAAAAAATCTTCTACAAGTCTATTTATAGCATCCAGAGAATGGAAACGAAGCCCACCAGTACGCAACGAAGGAACAGAAAAGTCAGAGAGACAAACCAACAACCTGACCTGCCAGGCAGACAGCAGCGTGTTCCTGCCACGCTCGGGCTTAGCACTCAGCAAATCAGAGGCAAACTTTTCCTGGGCTTCAAGGAGCAGGAGCAGTCGCTCGCACCAAATCAAAAGGAAAGCGTAAAAGCCAACGGGAGCGATGGCACACTTGAAAGGATTCTGGCAGAAATCTCACATAGCAGCTGGCAACCTCACACTGTGATAGGAATAGAGTCACCGCTTCCACCCAAAGCCCTTGCAGAGTCATCCGCGGCACACAGAGCAGCTGTTCTCGACCGCCGAGCAAACACATGAACCGGCCCTTTTCGGAAATCAATCCACTTAAGAACACGCGCAACTTTATTCTTACAACATCCTCAGGCAGCTACCGGGCCAATTTTCAGCTGCAAATTTCATGGATTCTGGCACTGAAACAAGAGCAGCACAAAAGCAGCAGTCGCTGCGGCCAGGCACTGGAGGAGGGCAGGGGCAGGGAATCGCCTTCCGTGGGATACAATGTTCCTGGTACAATGCAAGTCTTGCAGTTTTGTTTGCAAATGGTAATTGCAATCACCGCCAAATCAATACCACGCTATTATGGAAACCGCCATAAAGTAATGACAAGTGTTCCTAAAGTGTGTTAGTTGTCCAAAAGTTCACTTTCCAAATAAAATTCCCAAATATGTAACACTTTTAAAGTCTCTCCAAAATACAGCAATTCTCTTAAAGACCCTATTTAGGCATGTGAAGCCTGCTGCTGCTCCGAAGCGCTCGTCAATCAAGCCAGATTGCAGATGACAACCCTTATCTGCAGCCCCTCCCATGATTCACATCGCAGCAGGAGTGCCCCGCACAACCTCTCGACAGCCACGTCCCACCCGGGAAACAAATTGTCGGTCTCAAAAGTCAACCCCAGGGTGCCCGAGTGACTTTCCTTTCTTGGGTGGTTGTTCCTTCAACAACCAGAGCCACCCCCACACCGCCTCCAAGGTAAGAAAGCGCAGCAAGCAGCCAAAAGTATAAACATGAATTTGATGTTTCTCGTGTATAATTTTATTTTACTTATTAAATGAGAATTTGGATTAAAGAGTGGAAATTTGATAACAAAAGCTGCACAAAAAACTTTTCTCGCTTTTAAATCCTTGGCAAAAACCCTCCATAAACTCATCTCTGAGATTATAACATACGCAGAACACTAAAATCCTCCATATTCACTAATTCACTTCATTTATAAAAACAACACTTCCAAATTATTTTTAAAGCCTAAGGTACAAACAGCAGTGTTCCTGCAGAGTCCTGCAGGAGGAATTCGGCACGTTCCTCCTCCAGAGCCAGCCCCACATATCAGTTTAGGAGCACCGGGTTATTTTTGATCTACTGCCTGAGAGCTGCTCCAGTGCAGCTCAGAGGATGGAGCAGTTGGAATATAGCACCTCTCTCTCTCCTCAACTATAAAGATATCGCAGGCAGAAAGCACTCAGCGAAGACATTATTTCTTACTCTGTTTCCGGAGCCAAGACAGTACAGTGTGCACAAGTAGCATAACTCCTTTCCAGAACCATTTCTTTCCCCATTTCTTGTCCTCACTCGAAGCACAGTGCTTGCTCCTAGCAGGAAATGCCATCGATCCCCAGCAGAAATGCTTACCCTCCAAGATGAACAGAAACCGAATGATATACTCCATTTCTCCGCAGATAGGGAGGAAATTCCCATGGCACCTGAGCACGGCAGGATAAAGGACATAAACCAGCATTAAAGCTCAGGGTGGGTTTTTTTTCCTGCTATCAAATCTGGTGTTGTTTCCAAGGTCCAAGCATTACAGTTTAAAAAGAAACTGATATAAACTGGTATTCAGCACATCCTCCCAAAGCAATGCCTTGGTGTGTTTGTGCGTTATTTTACCATCAAGAAACTGGGTAAATTTAACAAATTATTATGAAGAGTTGTTTAATGAAACTACAAAATGTCTAGAGCCACAGAGACTTGGTACCATCAAAAACGTGGGATTTTTTGGTGAAACAACTATTTTCACTGGACATGTTCTAGATTATAATTATTTTTAATGCTTCTTACGTCATCAAGTTCTTTGTCCCTCAGGCATGCACTTTAAAAGAAAAACTGTATTTAATACAGATGTTTGATGACAGGAAAAAAAAATTAAAAAGTCTTGCATCTGAAATTAAAACCGGTGTCACAAGTTTACTTTGCTGAGGAAATTACTATTGATGTAGATATAAACTGGGAAAGCGATATTTTCTTTTTATAAAGTGTTATGTTTGGACAGTACAAAGATCACAGCAACCCAATGCAGTAAACCTACCTAAGAGAACACGAGGAGTTCAAACAAACCTATGCTGTTCATAAGAAACCTTTATTGAGCAGGTCAATAAAGTTCATGTTATATACAAGTGGATTTATTAAAAATGGGATAGTGAACAAGAGACCAGATGGCTCAAATGCATCCCCAACTAGATTTAGTGACTGCTGATTAGCTGGGAGGCAATCAGAAGAAATAGTGAGCTGCACTATTGTGTTGTATATCCTGCAATCACAAAGAAAATCTGCACTTTACAGCCTGCTTTCTTGGAAGTGGCGTTGCTATTACGCACACGAGCACGAGCGCTTCATCATCAGCCTCATCTTGCTGAGCGGTCCTCACCTTTGTCTTTCAAGTCTGGAATGTCTCTAGTGCACTTCACATGCAGGTGCACATCAAAACCATCTGAAAGCTGCATCCATCGGTACAAAAACTCATCTCTGTACACACCATGGCACCAAAAAAAACCAGAACAGGGTAATGGCTGCAAGTAATTAAACCGCTTCCGCTAATAGGAAGGAGATCAAAGTTTGGGTCTATCACTTTGCATTCGCTGTTTGATATTAAAGAAAATATTCATAAATGGTAATTATTTTTTGTGAACAAAGCACCAGAAAAACATAGCCAATACATTTATATGCATAATTTATTAAAGGAAAACTTTGAACTCAGATTATTGAGCCACACCAGAGAAAGAATGCAACTACTTGTTCCTCTTCTAACACTTGCATTATTCAACCTCTTTGCAGCCTACAGCTCAGTTGGGCATAATTTCTTTTAGTGTTTTAAACGTGCTTAAAGTCTGTGTGTTTCTGTGGAAGGCTATACTGACAGCAAATTGGTATCTAGATAATCAGGCATTCCTCTTAATGTCATCCTGCGCACAGTTCCCCTATCTTATTCACCCTGTAGTTATTATTTTAAGATTAGACTGCAACACCTCCAAGGGCAAAACCATCTTTTTACGTTGGGTTTGTGTTCCCTTCTGCTCATATGGAAGAGGAACTGCTAATCAAGAGACTTCACAAGCTCCATCCAACCATTCATTTGGTTCTGCTTTTACACATAACCTTCTTTATGTGGGAAAATTCCTCATTCTCTCCTGCCAAAATACTGAGATATCTCACTCCTCTTCTCCTCCTTTGTGCACGCAAGAGTAGGAACATTGTCCACGCCTACAATCAATTCCTGCACAAAACCAGAGTCAACTAATACAGACCCAGAAAAATATGAAGCCACCAGTCAAATAAAGAAAAAGAAGTGTTGTCAGGAAGTGCTCGCTGCTCAGCATTGGTGAGGCCACACCTGGAGTACTGCATCCAGTTCTAGGCCCCCAGTACAAGAGAGAGACAAACATGCACTGGAGAGAATCTGACACAGGGCCACCAAGAGAACAAAAAGACTGAAGCATGTCTCCTGTGACAAGAGGCTGAGCGAGATGGGACTGCTCAGCCTGGAGCAGGCTCAGGGGGATCTTACTAATGTCTATAAATACCTGAAGGGAGGGGGCAAAGAAGACAGAGTCTTCTTTTTTCTGCTCTTGTCCTTAGTGCCCAGTGCCAGGACAAGAGGGAACAAACTGGAACACAGGAGGCTCTGTCTACACATCAGGAAGCACTTCTTAACTGCTTGGGTGAGGGAGCACTGGCACAGGTTGCCCAGAGAGGCTGTGGAGTCTCCATCCTTGGAGATCTTCAAAAGCTACCCAGACATGATCCTGGGCAGCCTGGTCTGAGTCACCCTGCTTGAGCTGGGGGTTGGACCACCCAGCCTCCAGGGTTCCAACATCAACCCTTCTGTGATTCTGTGAATAATCAAGTCTTCCTTCCACTTCTGGTTTGCTGGGAAATAATGACTTCCTCCCCAGATGTGATCTTTTTACAGTAGTTAATGTATCCCAGCCTCCTGACTAGCGCACAGAGAAATGCTGAGTGCCTATATATTTCTATATAATACAATTAGTCCTGAACTGCTACAAAGGCTGGAGTTTCTGCAGAAAATGGATGCACCTCTTGAGGATTTCTGGCTCTAAGCCAGAGGCTTCATCCATCTGTCAATTTCTGCTTCTCCTCCTGTCAGTGAAGCAAAGTCAATGAACGACAGTCAATGACTCAGGACCTAGCTACATCCATAAATATCCCTACTCATTAGCCACAGTAGAATACCTTTTCAAAATAAATTTTATTTTCAGAATTTATTTTTCATATGATGTTCACTGTTAAGTTGATTCAAGCAGAAGAAAAGCCTCCAAAAGAACTGAGAAATGCTGACAGTATGTATTTTAAGAGCACATTATTAGACCACCCTTTTCGACAGAATGGCTGAATAAATTCATAAATATGTTTATTTTATTTATATATACACACATACACTATAATTATTGCCTTTTTTGATATAGTTTTCTCCAATTCCTGATTCAAAGACTAACAGTGGATTTTATTTTTTTAAATCAAATACTCTAATACTGAAATATCTGAATCAACTCCATAGGACCTGCTTCAATGAGCCCATATGCTTATCATCAACACAAATATGCATAAGCCACAATGCACTACTGACTTCTTAAATAGTTATACTTTTCAAACAAAACAAAAAAAAATCATTTGGTAGAATTGACAACAGAATCTATGATTCCAGAAAATACAAATAATCAACTAGATAACAAGTTCAACTAACCGAATACATTTCAATTCTCCCTAGACTTTTAGTCTCACTAGTAGCTGCAACCTTGTTTAAAATTTATAGCCTGGATCTTCCCGACACAGGTTGCTGAATTTCTTCACATAATGATGGCTTAAAAGGCATTAACTTGTGGAAGAAAACTAAAGTAAAGTAATAAAAACTAAAGGTGTTAAATCAGTGTAGAAAGAAAACATTCAGTCATTCAGTTTAGTTACTACTAAATAAAATGTTACACATCTGAAGGATTTCATTTACATCTCAAATATTTCAAAGGTAAGTGTATGTGTAGTTTAGTGTCATACCCACCTCCACACTTGAATGAGGGAAGGGAAAATCTCTGGCATCGTCAATTTCAATTCCAAAACTTTTGTTATAAAAATATCTAAGTTATATTAAATAAACAAACAAAAACCCTGTTGGTAACTCACTACTCCAGCAATTTTTCAAAGCACCTTCACAATCTTAAACTCCTGAACATCACCATTCTTACAAATCTAGCAAATATAGCTAAACCAGCCTTTAAGGCATGCTGATATATATATATATATATATATATATAAATAAATAAATAAATAAATAAAAGCTATCAGAGTTTCATGTTCTTCTTTACCTAACTCACTGAGTGTTTCACCACTGTCATGTGAACTAAGTAAAAAGGTTTGGTCATACCCCATTTAAAAGAAAAAAAAAAAAGCCCTTTTGATCCGTTGTATTGTTCAGCACTGAATTACTGGCACTACACAGCATTTTCCAAATGCTGCCTCTTATACAAAGGAGAGAGCTCACATTAAAAGATTGAAAGTTTTTTCTCATTAAAACCAGAAACCTGAGGAAGAAAGGTTATATGCTTTTGTGAGCTTTGTCTAGTATACAAGCTTTGGGAAGCAATTTTAAATCATAATGCAACAGCAGCCAGTTCAAATGCCTTCTCTTTTATACAATGCAATCAATAATGCAATTTGTTCCACCACAAATCTGTAAGTATAGTAAAGTTCTCCTACTACCACTGAAACATTTGCTAAAATTTTTAAGCACCATGTACTAGAACAGAAATATATATATATATATTTGTTTAAACTTGATTTTAAAAGCCTACTTTTTCCAACATTTGCTACTTTATTAAAATATCTCTATTACACTGACTGTTTATTACACAAACACCTGACCCAGGAATACGTATGGGGATTTCTGTCCACTTGGACCATTTGAAGAGCAGCGATCGAAGTTGTCCTCATCACATAAATAATAAGTGACTGCCGTGGAGTCACTTGAGGGATGTCAGTGCAAGCAACACTCAACACCACAGCTACTTCCATATGGGGGTCAACTGAAACTGGTAATTACAAGTAAGCTTACACTACTCCTATCTTTCCTACTATACTTAAGGAAATGAACAGGGGTTTAATCTCTGAGAAATGCAAGCTGTTGCCATGTGTATGACTGATTCTGTCAGAGGAAAGAGAGTTAGCTGCCTGTTTATATGACTTCCACAAGGGAACAGCTATATGTGTTCAAAACAAAGAAGCATCAAATAAAGAATAGCTCTACTTACAAGCTTCCTCTTCTAGGTAGACTGAGCTCCTTCTGGAAAACAGAAAGAAAACGGAGAGTTAATTTTACATGCCAATATGTATTACCCACCTACATATCAGCGAATGGACAAGGCCTTGAGAAAACAGCGGTTTGCACCCAAGCAGCAGGATCAGGGAAGCCTTGGGATTTCAAGGCAAGGGTTTCACTTTGTGCTGTGATTCTGTGTAAGGCAGCAGCAAGCCCTGGCAGCCAGCAGCCCGCAGCAGCCCGCGGCCCGGCGCCACCAGGTGGCAGCAGGCGGCCGCGGGCGGCAGGGGGCAGCGGGAGCGCGGCGGGGTCCCGGAGCCCTCCCTCAGCCAAACCCGGGGCGTGGAGAAAATCAGTCCCTTTCCTTGTCAGTCCCCTCGGAAAGCCAGTGCAGGCTGTGCCTGTGCCGTGCCAGCGGTGGGCAGGGGGCAGGACACCTGAATGAGGCCTTAGAAGCGGCCCCTGGCAGGTTCTGGGGCTGCTGAATTTCAGCTTTTCGCACCAAAATGACAAGTATGTGGCCAAGTTCAGTTCCTGGCTTCCAGAGTGCTGACCTAAGTGATGTATTTTTCTTCCCCCAAAGGAAAAAAAAAAACAACTAATTTTTTTCGACTGAATATTGAAGACAGTGAATGGAAAAAAAAAATCCATAAAATCTGGTAACCACTTCTCCATGTTTAGATACGGCGTTGATGTAGATTTAAATGATTAATAAGGCTACTGACAAACCATCAGTACTGCTTTGCTAAGTCATATACGGGACACCAGTTCAAGTTTTTCAAAGGTACCAAAAATTCGCAGCTACTAGAACTAAAAAAAAAAAAAAAAAAAAAAAAAAGTCCAAAAACCTGCTCCTCTTATTTTCCAGTATGAGTTCTCTAAAGTTGGAGATTTCGTTGCAGCTTAACAGCACCGAGCAAATTTCATGTGTGAATTATCACAAGCCTGACAGCTTACAGCATCAAGAAATAAATTCCTGTCATCAGACAAACTTGTCAAGATCTAATCAAAACATTTCAAGTATGTAAGATAATAAATCATTAGCATCGATAACAGGTTGTATGTTTTATATTCTGAAAGGTACTGCTTCCACTCTCATTTGTTCGAAAGAATTAAAGTTTCCAACTGTGAAGTCTACATGGCGATGACTGCTCCCTGCCACTGCAAATGGAGAAATCCATATCATTATTATGTGCCTTACACTATGCTATGTTTACGTACAATAGACATGCATATATATGTATTATCTCTCCTGCACCATGTGGGCAGATGTTTTTCATTTATCCCCTTTAAAGAAGACCTAGCAGAACAAAGGTGCCTAGCAGGGCGTGCCTCCTCGAGCCAAACACTGTGCTTCCATTTCTTCCCAAACAACCTGCCCCAGAAATTCTCCAACTGGACGCACTCAGCTCTGAAATTTCACGGTACTGGCTGAAAAAGGAAAACGGCGACCTTTAAGTCTCTGTATCTGCCTTCTAATTTTTGAGCCTTTAGGTTCATGTTTACAAGCTGTGCTCTGGTCATGAGGGCTGAAAGAGATAACACTCCTTTGTAGCAGCGAGGCTCCAGTAATTGGGACTCTGACATATAGACAAAATACCACAGGAATCCTCATCCAGTAATAGGAGTGGACGAGCCTTTTCTTTCCTCTACTGCACATTTGTTTTACTCGCATGATAAAAGCTTTAATACTCCCTCTATTATAGCTGTTTCTGGAATAAATATATACAAGGTTAAAAGAAGGATTTGGGCTATGGTCATGAAATCATCTTTTTGAAATCTGTGATCAACTGAGTTTCCAAATAAAGAAGAAAAAGTACCACCAGATGACATCTCAATGCGGGTGAACTATTATTCTATCCATGTAGCAATCGTTTTCACTCCATACCCCCACCTTGACAAATACAGTGCAGCTGTGGGATCAATAGGCAGTAGTTCAAATTTAATACCTCTGTGCTCTAGACAACAAACAGCACAATCAAAGCAATCAATTTTTATACCTGTTGTTCCACTATGCCTCATCTCACATTAGTCTTAAAATCCCCTTCAAAAGCCCTGCCAGTCATGCACCAAGCTGTGCCCACTGCCCCAGCACTTTCCCTTCCCTCTGGAGAACCACCAAGCCTGCACCCTCCCAGCTCTTCACCTCCTTTTGCTTCTCCAAAGCAGATCTGGTAGCAACACCGCTTATAATCCTCTGAATTAAATTGTGAAATGGTGGAACTGAGGCCAAAGCATCAGAGCTGGAAATTGCATGATAGTGAGCACCAGAATTAACAGCTTTGCTCCTCCTGAATCACCAGTGAGTTGGTGTCTACAAAAGTCACCTCTCAGCAAAGATGACAGACAATGCCTGGAGGTGGCAACAAGGAGGAAGCAGACTGCAGTCAGAACTGATGCCCTGGTTCAGGATGCTTCCTAGGGGCTGCTGCCTCTCAGGAGGGCATCACAGATCTCCAAGGAAGGAGTGGACAATGAAAATGCATACCACGGATGAGGACTTGTTCACATGGGGGAGTCTCAGCTGGATCTTGAGATGGCTTAACAGTTTAATGCATGCAATGGGACCAATTGAGTTGAAATCTAAAAATGATGGGGTAATTGCAAATATGTGAAGTAGCTCTACAAAAACGCTGATTAAATAATTACGCAAAATATAAAAGTCCAACCGCATTTCACAACTACCCTATAAAAGCAAAATTCTGCTCAGAAGCAGTTTTATAATACAGACTAACTGTTTTAGATACTAAATGATTAGGGAGGAGGTGTGATTTGACTGGCTTCCACCCACTCCACAGAGGAGTCTGGCATTACATGTCCCTACATCCTTTAAAAATAAATCCTATTTAAAGACGTAAGATAACCAATAAAAGAGAGCTGAGCTGTGATCGCTTGGTCCAAAAAACTATTTACAAGGTGCAGATGTAACCCCTTAAGTAAACATGCTATTTAATCCTAAAGGCATTTCCATACTGGAGCACCCTTCCAGTGAGAACGACACATGAACATTGGGGATTTCGGCTGGCCTTTTCCACCAGCACACCAGCTTCCCTCAGCACTTCATCTGCCTGCCCCTGTACACATCACCAATATTACTCCAGCCTGCCTCCTTGCCACCTGCCCTGTAGGTTAACAAAACAACCCTCTAAGTAGAGCCTCACTTCTTACATTTGACTTACACGCAGTGATATATAGCGTAGGAATATTTTAAAGCATTGTTCCACTTTATTCACAAGGAAGTTTTGGAAGTGGGAACAAATAACCACTTTCACAGATCCTACGTCACTAAAAAATAAGAAGCATATTAAATCTTGCAGTGCCCAAACAACAACAACAGGCTGTTCCGAGTTAATCTTTGCATCAGTTCCGTATTTCAAGGCACAGTTATTAAACATGCAACCTGATCTCTACATGACAAAAGAAGCAGAAGATTTTCCAACACCTAGTTAAAAATGAATCTTGGGAAAGAAATAAGGCATCACAGAATTATCAAAAGCTGGGTCTGATACCCTCCTTCAAAAGAGTTCCTTATATTTGTTTCCTCCTATCTTACCATCTCAAATAATGTAGATATAAAATCTGTTAGAGGCTGTAACACACTGCAGTTCAGGTTTCACAATAAATGAATTAGATCCTCATTGGCACTGTTATTTTTCAGGCAGCAAGCCTGAAGCTAAAACAGAAAATATATTCGCCATTTTAAGAGGGGTTTTTTGGTTACATAATATATAGTTTAGTGTATACATCCGAAAATGTATTCTATAGTGACCTCTTGTATACAGAAACTGTTTTAAAACAAAATTGTTTCACAGAACAGAACGAGTGCTGGCTTTTTGCATACATTTATATGCACCATGTAAATGGAACTAAAGTCTGGAAATCTATTTGTTCATTGACCTACGAGACAACCCATATCTTTTAAACAGATATGTTATAAAAGCGTGAAGAAAACAGGAGCCCATCACTCAAAATTGTCACTTTCTCTCAATCTTGTAATTTGTCCTTGAATATGTAACTGCACATATGGCACAGACCCACAGGCAAAGTTGGACGCTGGAGCCTGCACTGATGGCAGCTTAAATGTAGTCCTTTCAAATTACAGCGAGGCCCACCACTACCTTCAGGATGTTCCGTATTTTTGCCAGAGCAGACAGCATGATTCCTGAGATTCCCTTTGACCTTGGCTTTCTTGCCTGGTAGCTCACTATCATACCAGTTGGGACAATAGGCAAATATTTTTACAGCTATAACAGTAAATACATTTCAGTTAATAAGTTAATATTTCACAGATGATGAAATTCCACTGACACTCATTGACCTAGTACCATGCACTCATGTTTTAATTTTTTTTTTTCCTTTGCTGACTATGTTTGCTTTAGGGTATCTACCAACCAGCAGGGGATTAATTAAATCTCTTTCTATACATAACCATTTGCATTACAGAAATGATATAATGAGGGTTAGAATCTCCAGTTCTGATGGAAAATACAACCTGGCCAGGCAAGGACAAACTGTAATCCATCCATCAGATTAGCAGGAAAGAATTTTTCATGGTGATTAAAAATAAACCACCCCACGCTAAGCTTCTCTTTCTCCTATCAGAATCTGTCAAGAAAAATAATTTCCTTCCTTTTACCATATCATTGTAAATGGTTATTGAAACCAGTATTTCTCAGTTTCTCTCTCATGTAATGATTACATCTAAAATTGTTTGCCAAACTCATCAGCAAAGAATTTCAAACAGTAACGCTAAAACCATATCTGTATTGAACATCAGATCAACCTATGAAATACACTGCAGATATTAGTTTCTATCATATATTGTCTTTTAGAAACTAAATTCAGAAACATGTTGTTAAATCATCTGCTTAACTACAGATATTTAAAATACAGAAAATGAATACCCAAACACTTTCTACTATCATTCAAAATATAGGGAGGGCACTGAGTTTAATTCCCAGATTCTTTTCAACCCAGTACAGAATTTATACCTGGAATTGCACGAATCCTGAACTGCCAAGCTG